CTTGGTGAGCTGCGCCACTACCTTGGCCTGCAGATCACCAGGGACAGAGCCGCTCGCACCATTACACTCTCACAGTCACACATGGTGCAGCAGGTCCTTCAGCGGTTCGGGCTTCAGCACTCCACCGTACAGCGCACACCTCTCGCTGTTGACCACAGACTCACTGGTCCCTTTCCTGACGAGCCGTTTGAGCCTAGTGGTCCCTACGCAGAGCTTGTGGGTTGCCTCATGTACCTGATGACTTGTACTCGCCCGGACCTCGCCTTCCCTCTCAGCATCCTTGCGCGCTTTGTTGCGCCAGGGAGACACCGTCCTGTTCACTGGACGGCAGCTGTGAGGGTGGCGAAGTACCTAGCGACTACATCAGGCGTGGGGCTAGTTCTTGGAGGGCAGCAGTCTGTCGTACTCACTGGTCACTGTGACTCCTCTTACGCTGACGACGCTGAGACTCACAGGTCTACTCAGGGGTACTGTTTCAATCTGGGTACTGGAGCTGTTTCCTGGCGTTCCACGCGCTCCTCTTCTGTCTCGACCTCTACAGCTGAGGCTGAGATTTACGCTGGTGCCATGGCGGCATAGGAGTTGCGTTGGTTGACCTTCTTGCTCGCCGACCTTGGTGAGCGGCCGAGCTCTGCACCGACCTTGTTCACTGACAACAAGGCGTCGATCCTCCTCTGTCGTGAGCCGCGACTGGAGAGCAGAGTGAAGCACATTCACGTCAGGTACTTTCTTCTGCGAGAGTTGCAGAGACGTGGACAGGCTCGCTTCGAGTTTGTGGAGTCCGAGGCCAACACTGCAGACATCTTCACCAAGGCGCTTCCGCCTCGTGACCACCAGAGGTGTTGTGTGCAGTTAGGCCTTGTTGACACAGGTTCTAGTCATGTGTAGGCTTGAGTTTATTGCCTGCTTCATCTGTACTCTTGCTATATCTACTTGTGATCTCTTGGACTGGCCTTGTGGCCACTGTTGCTTGTGCTCAGAGAGTGTGGTGACGTTGTGATCCACCCTGAGCTTTGTTTTCTTTTGGACTGGTCTTGTGACCGTACTCTTTTTTTTATTTTGCTAGACACCCCTCACTTAGGCTATGGGGGTGTGTCAAATGTTGTAGCCTGTAGTGAGGTTTGTCTTAGGGGGTACAGAAGTTAGGGTTTGTTATATGTACCCCAACCAACATCAATGGCATCATCATTCCTCATTTTGACAGAGTGGGGGGGTGGAGAAGGAGGGAAGGAAAATGCCAAGGTAGGTATTATGGTTAATGAAGACAACGTGGTGAGGGTGATAGCGTCAGGTGAAACAGGGATATTCAGCAGCATTAGAGACCTGGTGATGATCATTCTTGTAGCTGCTGGTGATGGATACGCGACTGGGTCTGCTGGTAGCAAATGAATGGCCGCTGGTGTTTGTATTGGAACTGTTGATGCATGTGGTACTTCTTAAAGAAGGAAGGGGGGCATGTTATGCGTGCTTCATAAGGGGAAATCTATGTTGGTTTGGGAGGGAGTTCTGAATGCCGTTTATTAGATTGAAGTTCCGTGGGGTGAACATATTGCGGGTGCTGCTTTTGTGATGAGCATGTAAATATTATTGTAGGGCAATTTATGATATGTACCCCAACCAACATCAATGGCATCATCATTCCTCATTTTGACACTGTATAAGGCTGTCTGAGAAATCAGATGAATAGAAAAAGCTTCTCTAAAAAAACCAGACGAAACTAAACAGCATGTCTACGGCATCAGATGAACCAGTAAAAATGTGATCCAGAAATTCAGACAAAAAAATTACCATGATAAAGTGAGCCCTGGTCTTGACTGGGCGTTTTGATTGGGTATCTTGAGTGGGGGTTTTATGTGTGCTGCATTTGGGTTCTTTTTGGCAGTTTCAAAAAAAAAAAAAAAAAAAAAAAAAAAAAAGGCACTCATTTGTCGCACTAGGTGTGCCGGTTTTCCTTGCCCAGGAACATTTTCTTTATGGTACACCAATGTTCCACCAATCTTTACACCATTTTATACGTACCACCATGGGTTTCACGGAAAAAAGAAACATTGAAATATTTTCACTACGGTGATAATGAAAAGCAGATCAAAGCAAACAATCTACCGTACGTGGCAAACCCAGGTGAACAGGGACTAACAGCATGAAAGGATAAGCATATCACCATTTCCTTCTTTAAAATCGTAACCAATTATCTACAATTGTGGCAAACCAGCACGCTGACACACATAATACACAAAGCAGCAAACTTCGAATGCTAATGAAAGGTGAGCAGGTAAACCAGTCAGCAGCAACACTGCCGGAACCAGCACCAACATGACTGCACACAGAGCAAAAAAGAAACGACCTAAATCACTCACACCGTATCCTTGTTTCCATAAGTCACACCCCACCTCCTTCCCCGTTTCCACATGGCTTCTTCACCACCCCCCTTCGCCAGCACCAGGCCAACAACATTGCAGGCGCCATAAGCACCAGCATCCATGGGAGAGCCAGCAGCAGCATTGCTCCAGCAGCATTGCTCTCGCAACAGCATCCGCTCGTAGCCACAGCCACTCAACCCCGTAATTACCATCCCTTTCCACCTTAGGCACACATACTCAGGAGGCGGGACCCTTAGCCAAAGTCACCCTCCCCCTTCACCATAATCACTCTCCTCCCTTGGCCAGCATCAGCCCTACGACCATAGCAGGCGCCATGAGCACCAGCATCCAGGGCAGTGCCTGCATCAGCATCCGCTCCTGTCGCGACTCCTCCTGCTTTCTCCCACTCAACGTGTAATTTCCAAAGCCCGTGAGAAACATTTTGTACATGTAGTCATCTAGTAGCGACGGCCTATCGTTCTGAGCCTGCTCCTTCTGCCGCTGCTTCGAAGGATTGTGCGAATCGCCTTCGAATAAAGCTTGCGCGGCGCGTCTCTTGATGTGGTGGTCCGCGCCGCGGAAATGGCAGAGGGATTTGTACAGACGACGCGCTTCGTCGTGCGAGCCGAGCTTATCGAGGCACGCGGCTTTCTGGAGGGAGGCCTCGCCGTGGTGATACGTGTCGTCCTCTGATTGGTCGAGTACTTTGTCGAAATGCGCAATGGCCGTAGTGTATTTCTCCTGTTGCGTCGAAATTAACACGGAGGGAACAAAACAAAGCAAGTAAGCATAGCAGCATCGTGAGTACGTCGTAAATCAGACCGGATCAAGTAGAAACGCGTGAAATGTCATCAACATATGCGCAGTGACAGAGCAGGTTAACACAAAACGCAAGTTAGAACGCACCTGAGAGAACATTATCTTGCCGAACCGAAGCTCGTGGTCCAAGTGGGCTTTAAGAGCAGCCCGCTTCAATTGCTCCTCCCTCGCTCTAGTCTGCTGCTCGATCTTCACAATCTCCTCCGCAATCAGCCGCTGCTTCTCCTCCTCATTCAGATCCTGCGGAATGATTACGATGATGAGAAGTTAGGGAGAGTATTAGCAACATATAAACGAGAGTTTGTTCCGGAAAAACAAAGGTTGAACAGGGCAACAATGTCAGGCGAATTGATAACGACGATGCATATTTACTAGGGTCACGCATCCGAGAGTTTTTTACCAGTTATATAATGATGAGAAAGCTGCTGCTTACGTGGGAGGAAGGATGGAAGCCATGTGCGACGGCTCGGGGGAGCTCGAGCGACTTGGGTTTGTTCCTTGGAGGGAAAGTGCCGTCACTCGAAAGCATACAAACTACTCTACCCTGTTGTTGAGTCGTTCTTGATGCATTGGAATCGATATTGGCCGAGTCTAATCTCGCAGGAACAAGCGATCGCGTGAAACCGCACAACGGTAGGGCTTGGCTCCCCATGAGCAGATTCAGGAATGACAAGCAATCACCCACAATAGTCTAGAACGGGAACTAAAAAATGTGGTAAGCGCTAATCAACCAGACAGCAAGTTCGCTAACGGGGACGAGGTCGTGTGGCTGCCAGGAAAGACGAACAGAAAAACAACACCGAGTGTCTGAGCGTCAGGTGTAACTGAAAAGCGGTGGTAAGGAGAGCAGCTAACAACGAGGGGGTCTTTATGTCAGGACTCAAGCTAAAAATAAAATGTAGATGAGTTGGTGGAAATAGAGACCCAGAAGAAGAGAGAGGTTGGAGCAGGTCTGGTTGTGTCAAAGCTAGGGGAGGTGTCAAAGCCGAAACTGTAGAGCTGCCATTGTAAAAAGGCAAAACAAAACGGCTGAACCTTCAATGATGATTTATGTGCGCAGAAGAACTATTAATTACACGCAATGCTTGAAGCAATGAGCCTGATGTAATGAAATTCCGGGCAAATATGAAAGTTCAGCAACAGCCAGCCCAAACGCCAAACTACAGGCTAGGTTCGAAGGCTGGGTGCATTCATGATTGCATGTGAGCACAAGACAGGTTCGTCGAGAGTGAAAAACGAAAAGTGGATATTCTGTTTGGCTCGGGTCTCCTCACCGAGGCAGATGTTTTTGGTTCGTATTCCTACAAAGCTGGAGATTAACGAATAGCTGAAGTTACTTTTGCTGCGTTGTTTGCTTTGCTGGACAGCATGCGAGGCTCGGAACCCGAAGTACAATCTCCGCGTCATAAGGGTGGTGAGACACGCCAGAAAGTGGATCCGGTAGCTGGCACGTCACTCGTGCTGACTAGGCGGTGTGAGTGATGTGAAACTTTTGTAAACACTTTACCCGTGCTGAAGCGTGGGTAAAATATGCAGTGTAGTAATTTGCGGACAAAGATGGGTCTCATTTGATTGATGCTATTGACAATAAGGTAACAACTTTTGCACCACAACCATAATTTGATCAAGTAGCTAACACCTCTGGTCATTAAATAAGATCCCCCATTGCCAGCCACAACATTTCTTGTCTGCAATATCAACAAAGTGGAAACACATTGAATGGATGATTTGTTCATATGTTTGAATGAATGAGCTATTCCATGTTTATCGGCTAGATTCAGACTGTACCATCCCTCTCCACATCGCCCTCCCCATCTACACTCATCCATCTACACTCATCTGCTCACCCTCCCCTCCCTCCTTCCCCTGCCCTTGTCCCGCCAAGTCCTCTCCCTCCCCACTCCCACCATCCCCATCCTCCTCCCCCTCTACTGCCTTCTCCTCACACTCCACTCGAATATCACCCCCCCTTTCCACCTTCATGTCACCCCCTCCTTCCCCCTTCATCTCCTCCTCCCCCTTCTCTTCCTCCCTCCCCTCCTCCCTCCTCCCCTCCCTGCTTTCCTCCCTCGTGGGTGACACGGGTCCAAAGGCAACAGGAGGGGGATTATCCACCAACCACTTGCTCGCCTCCTCCTCCTCCTCCATCTCCTCGTCCCCTCCCTCCCTCACTCTCTCATTCCCACCTTCGCCCTTCTCCCCAGCACCCCTTCCAGACCCACCCCTCTCCTCCTTCTCCCCATCCTCCTTTCCCTCATCCATCCTCCCCGCTTCCACCCCACCCTCCCTACCAACACTCGCTCCTCTCCCCCTGCTGCCCGCATCGCCCCCACCACTTCCCTCGCCACCGCCACTCCCACCGCTGCTCCCACCACTACCACCAGCAGTGCCACTACCCACCCCCTCATCCCGGGCTCCTCCCCTGCTCCTAGCCCCACCCTCCACCGTCCCAACACCCGCCCCACCACCCCCACTGCCCCCACCAGCCCCACCCAGTTCCATCGCAGCTTCTTCCACCACCACCTCTCGAAAGAACCCCGCAAATTCAGGCGAGTGTGGGGCGATGTCCGGGGAACCTGGCCTGCCAGCCCCCCTCTCGTCCGTCTCCATTGCTGCATTTCCCCCCTCCCCTCCCTCCTCATCCCCCTTCCCTCCACCCCCCTCGCCACCCCCCCCCGCCTGTCCTGCTGCTCCCCCCTCTTGCCTCGCCCTGCCTCCCTGGTTCGGAAGCTGGGGCTTTGAGGGCGGTGGGGAGGTTTGGGAGGGAGGAGGGAGGGAGGAGGGGGAGGAGGAGGAGGGGGAGGTGCGGTAGAGGCGGTGGAGGTGGGAGGGGGGGGAGGGGGAGGGCGGGGAACGGGGCTGTAGGGGGAGGGGCGGAGGAGGTCACTAGGAGCAGCTGCAGAGGGGAGGGGGGAGGGAAAGAAAGGGAAGGAGGGAGAGGGAGAGAGAGGGAGGGAGGGAGGGACAAAGGGGCAGTGAGAGGGAAAGTTGAGGAGATGTGGGGTGTTGGGGGAGGGATGGGCGAAAGAGGAGCAGGCACTGTCGGTGCAAAAAAGCACGAATGGAGGAGAAGGGTGCACGAGCAGAAATCCCAGTGCAATAGGCAGGTCGGGGACGAGAAGGGGAAGACAAGAGAGTGCGAACAGTGGGTGGAAACAGTGGGTTGGGTCGAGTTGACTTTTGAGTTGACTTTTGAGTCGATCAAAAGTCAACTCAGGAAGAAAAGAGAGTGCGAACAGTGGGATGGGTCGAGGCAGACGGACCTTCTCAAGAGCAAAGGCAACACGGTTGAGATTTGTGTAGGTGGCTCGGGGATTGAGAAGCACCTGGGAGACAGCCAAGAGAAAAAAAGAGGTGGATTTGTAGGAAAGTTAAGAAATAGGTGAATCTGCATCAGGAGGAAAAACAGGTGAATTTGCAGCAGGGACAGTACAAGCACAAACCTCACAGATGCGCTGAATGGTGAAAGGTGGCCCGTCTGTGAATGCCTCAAGGTCTGTGTTGAAACAGTGGGGGAACGGAGAGGGGGGGATCAGGCAAGAGCGACTTTTGAGAATTCTCAAAAGTCGCACCAATACAGCTTCTGAGTATTCTCAAAAATGCCTCAAGGTCTGTGGTGAAAGAGTGGGGGGACGGAGAGGGGGGGATCAGGGGAGAGCAAAGCAGAGAGGAGGGGCGCTACACACACAAATGCACTGAATGGTGAAGGGAGCAAAAACACAGACCCATCTGCTAACGTGTCAAAATCTGTCTGTGGGGATGGACGAAAGGCACAGACGGGAGACGGGAGGGGGGAGAGACGGAAGAGGGGGGAAGAGGGGGAAGAGGTGAGAGAGAGGGAAAGGGAAGAGGGGGGTAGGGGTGAGAAGGGCGGTAGGGGAGCAGGGGAGAGGGGGGAAAGAAGGGAGAAGGGAGAAACGGAGAGGGACGACAGATGAAGCAAAGACGAGGGTCGCCTCCTCTCTGTGTTTAGGAACTGCATCCAGGACCGTGCTGAAGGAGTTGGTGGAGGGAGGGAGGGAGGAGACGGGAGAGTGAGACAAGGCCTTTATCATAGCAGCGCACATGCATGATGCATGCATAGTGGTACCATGTCAAAGTGCATAAGCAAACACAAGGAGAGTGAGTACACGTACAGGAGAGAATGCGTTCACTCAGCTCCGCAAACGTCTCCCCTGACGGCAGCGGGCGAGGCGGACCCACCCCTGCCACGCGCTCTGTCTCGTACTCCTCCAGCACCTGAGGGGTGGCGGGTGGAGGGTGGGAGGGGCAACACAACGACAGGGAGGAGATCTCTAGCCTGAATCATGCCTGCCACGAGCTTTACAGAGCGAGGCGGAACCACCCCTGCCACGCGCTCTGTCTCGTACTCCTCCAGGACCTGAGGGGCGGCAGGGGGGCATGGGAGGGGCGAGGCCAGCAAGGAGGGTCCTTCTAGCATTGCGGAGGGGCACACATTGTGGAGTCTAGTGGGCGAGTGGGACCCACCCACCCCTGCCACGCGCTCTGTAACCCCTGCCACGCACTCTGTCCTGTACTTGAGGACCTGACAAGTGGCAGGGGAGATTGGGAGAGAGTGGAGATACATTAGAGATAGTGAGGGGAGGTGAGACGCTTTCAGTGGCACAACACTGTTTAACACAGGCAGTGCCACCAGCTCCCGTGATATACACCTTTCCGCCCTCCTTTTCCCCCTCCGTTTCACACCGTCCTCCACACCACACCCCTGCAGTACCTGGTTCGAAGAACAAACAGAATTTGCAGATGACGCATTTAAACGTGTGCATTGCAATCTGTTTCTGGTGAACGATGTACTTGAAACCACAACGTGTAAAATGGTGTAATAGCACGATGTAATGCAGTGTGATGTGACAGTCACGTGCTGCAGATTTCGTCCCTGCAGCCATACCTGAGAAATTGTGAACCCCAGCATCCAAACTCATAGCGAAGAAGGGCAGCAGTATTGTTGAAAGCTTAAGCAGCAGGATCGAAACATGTAGTAGATGATGCATTTTGCAAGTAGGGTCCCTGCAGCCATACCTGAGAGATTGTGAACCCCAGCAGCTCTCTCACGGACTCCCAGTCATGCCTACACATCAACCGGCGAGGGGGGGGGATGTGGGAGGGGGGTTGTGGGGAAGAACCAGACCAGATGAAGGAGGAGGAACTTTGAGAGGAGGAGGGGAGGAGGGGTAAGTGAAGGTGGCCAGGGGACGGAGTTCATGGAGGGAGAATTTGCTGGAGCTGAAAGTAACGCATTGTTATCAACCAGCAGATTCCGCCATCCATCTCGTAATCCAGTCATTTAGCAGACAGAATCCATCCTCCACCAATCAGATTCCGTCGCTCACCAGACAGACTCCGTCATTCATCTAACAGCATCAATCACTCCGCCCACACACATCTCAGTACCAATTGACTGGTCAGGTTTCGATAGGAGCAACATGGACCCGTCACCAAAGTAACAGATTCCGTCAGACAATAAACGGAATTATCTAGCAAATGGTGCCACAGCAAAGTGACTCCAAATATTGCCTTGAACTCATATAACACCTTCTTTCCAGCAACTCACCCTTCAGGCTTCGATAACCACCAAACGGAACCCGACTCCCGGGCAATCACCCAGCAAACAGAATATGTGTCACAGCTAGCAAAATCCGTCAATTAGAAGACAGAACCTGCCACCCACCAGACGGTGCCTGTGACGGCAGTGACCTCCAGAATTGCCTTGAGCTCGGGGGACAGCTCCCTCTCGCCTGGCGACCTGCAGGTAACGAAAGGGACGGAGAATGGGAGAACTGGGAAGTGGACAGCCGAGAGGGATGTGGTGTCTGAGAAGTCTTCACGCAGTCAGCTCCGCTATCGGATAGCCGATAGAATTCTCCCTCCGCTCCCTTTGTCGCCAGGCGATCTGCCAGTGAATGGACCGATGAAAAGTGCAAGGGCTCTGATGCAGGATGCGAGATTTCCGTAATCGGCTCTGATAGTCTGATAACTCTCTGTCGCCAGGTGGCTTGCCAAGTAACGGGTGACGAGACGGCGAACAGGAGGATTTGAATTAGAAAACTCGGAGACTACTTTTGGGTTGACTCCAAAAACTTATCAGTGCTTGGACAAAATACCCGGTGACTCGCTCGGTCTAAGCAGTTATTTAAGGAGCGGCTTGGCACTGCACCTACGCACGACTGCCTTGTTCAACACTCAGTGCACTCAGTTCGTAAGGTCATGGCTATGTATGAATTGAGTGGACTCAGAAATGAGCTCAGTGCGTAAGGTCAGTGCGACACGCATGGCTATGTACTCGATATCACGAAACATAGTAACCGCAACATTATTACAAGAATGTACATCCCATCCCGACGCGTCACGCACCGGTTCCGAAACGCCGTAAGCGCCGCTGCGGCCGGCAGAGACGACACGGCCATCGTCGTAAGTTCCTGTCGCGTTACGATAGCTTGATGCCTAGCTGCTAGCCGAATTGATCGTTCAGTTAGAAAAGAAGAAGCACTCCTCGCAATTCCTTGTCGTGAGACTGATGCCTTCTATACTCCGCTACTCGCTTGCTACACCGCTACAGATTCTAGACGAGCGCAAACAGGACCAATGGCAAGCACGCATTGATAAAATCGCGTGACTCGTTACTGCGTACAGTCACGGTCAGGCAAAAAGGTCTTCACGCCGTAATCCTCGGTCGAGCGCTCGAGAGTTCTTTCCACTACCTTCCTTCGTCAGGTTACCAAGAGGCTGAGGAGGAAGTCTATCCTCCCGCAAAATGGCGGACGGGAACCATAACACGACCTTGGGATTGGGTAGCCGAAAGTAAAGAACCGTTGCTGGCTCCTCAAGAGTGCTTCCCCGAGAGGAACTCGATACAAAACACCGAATATACAGTTGTCAACGTTGACAAATGTTAGATGATATATTTTCGATGGACATCTGCACATGTGAAGGAGATTAACGTGTGTTGGTGACTCATCAGTAAGTAATAATTAGAATGAAGAAAGAAACACAATGCAGGATGTTTTCACATCATTCATTCATTTCGAGCAAACCTCCCTGAACCCACCATGGAAAACACACATCAGCTAATGAAAAGGCTTCAACATTTAGCTCAGCCGACATGTGACACGATCTTAGAATAGGAATGCAACGGAATGTGAGGAATAGAAACGAATGGGGTACAAATAAGCAACCCTAGAAGCTGTACCCCCCTAGAGTGCAACTCACTGCGACCTATCACATCAATGTGCAACATTTGACACACCCCCATAGGCTAAGTGAGGGGCATCAAAGCAAGTAAGGTGAACAAACGGTCACAAGACCAGTCAAAGCAAGAAACAAGGCAAGCTCAGGGTGGATATCAAGGACACCACACAAATTCCGAGCGCAAGCAAGCGGCCACAAGGCCAGTTCAAGAGTTCACTAGGATATAAATACAAAGCACAACGAGCAGAGCAAGCAGCAGGACTACAGTAACCGAGGGCCTACCTCAACAAGCCCCAACTGCACACACAACCTGTGGTGATCACCAAGCGCCAAGGCCTTGGTGAAGACGTCTGCAGTGTTGGCCTCTGAGGCCACAAAGTCCAGGCGTGCCTGACCGCGTCGCTGCAGCTCTCGCAGGAGGAAGTACCTCATGTCAATATGCTTCACTCTGCTCTCCAGTCGAGGCTCTCGACACAGGAGGATCATGGCCTTGTTGTCAGCGTACAAGGTCGGAGCAGAGCGAGGCCGCTCACCAAGGTCTGCGAGCAAGAAGGTCAACCAGCGAAGCTCCTGTGCCGCCATGGCACCCGCGTAGATCTCTGCCTCTGCACTGGAAGTAGCCACAGACGACGACCGTGTAGACCTCCACGACACAGCACCAGCTCCCAGACTGAAGCAGTAACCCTGACTCGAGCGCTGAGTCTCCACGTCGTCAGCGTAGGAAGAGTCACAGTGACCAGTCAACACCACTGGCTGAGTCCCTCCAAGCACAAGCCCCATGCCTGATGTAGTCGCCAGGTACTTTGCCACCCTCACAGCAGCTGTCCAGTGGACGGGGCGGTGTCTCCCAGTCGCAACAAAGCGAGAAAGGATGCTGAGGGGAAAGGCGAGGTCCGGTCGAGTACAAGTCATCAGGTACATGAGGCAGCCCACCAGCTCTGCGTAGGGTCCACTGGACTCAAAGGGCTCGTCAGGAAAGGGGCCCGTGAGTCTGTGGTCAACAGCAAGAGGAGTGGGCTGTGTGGTGGAGAACTGGAAGTCGAACCGCCGAAGGACCTGCTGCACCATGTGTGACTGCGTCAGTGTGATGGTGCGAGCGACTCTGTCCTGGGTGATCTGCAAGCCAAGGTAACGCTGCAGCTCACCCAGGTCAGTGCACTTGTGTCTCTTCTGCAGTTTGGACTTCACCTGAGCCAGGGGTGCCCTGTCTGCTGTGGCAAACACCAAGTCGTCGACGTAGACAAGGATAAAGAAAGGAGTAGAACCCGCTCGAACAAACAGCGACGGGTCGGCGGAGGACAGGCTGAACCCAAGGTCACGAAGTGTGGAGCGAAGAGTGTCGTGCCACTCACGAGGCGACTGTCGGAGACCGTAGACTGGTCGCCTCAGGCTCCACTGGGTCCCAGGTGGGAAGGTGTCAGTGAAGCCAGGAGGACGACGCAGCCAGATCTCCTCGTGCAGTCGGCCCTGGAGGAACGCAGTGGAGAAGTCGAGGGAGTGCAGCTCGTAGTCTCGCTGCGCTGCTATGTGGAGTAACACCCGAAGAGTAGTCATCTTTGGGGTCGGGGCGAAGGTCTGGAAGAAGTCAACTCCCTCACGCCGACTGAAGCCCCTAGCCACGTAGCGCGCCTTGAACACCGGCGGTGCTCCAGGCGGCCGCTTCACCTTGAAGAGCCACATGCCATCGACTACGTTCGCCCTGGGAGGGGGAACTGCGTCGACGTAGGTGCCTGTGGACCTCCAAGATGCCAACTCTGAGTCCATAGCCGCTTTCCACTGAGAGGCCCACGCCCCTGACACTGCCTCGCGATAAGTGCGAGGAGTCGGTATGTCAAGGGCGTCGGGGTCTCCCTCAGGGGAGAGTAGCATGGCACACACAGAGGGAGAAGCGGTTGCCCAGTACTCCAGCTCAGACTCTCTGTCCTCTAGGACGTCACAGCCAAGGGCAAACCCACCCCCGACAGACAGAGGACGGTAGGGAGGAGCTGGCACCACACGGGTGGCGTAGTCAAGGCGACTGGCGGCAGCAAACTCAGCGACAGCGGCAGTGAGAGCCGAGGCAGACGACGGAGGGAAACGAGAGTCGGTGACAAGAGTGGCGAGGACACGTGCGGCAACAGGACGAACAGCGCGGTAGTAGTCAGAGATAGGAGTGGGGGGGGCTGTGACAAAGGACGGAGGAGGAGACGGGAGAACGGACACATGAGAAGGAGAACGACGACGAGACGAACAAAGGAGGGCAGTGTGGAGGTCAGTAACAGGGGACGAGTGACGAGCACGCGGAGGACAACGTGTGATCAAGTTGCGACGGACAGAAGGAGGAGGAGACTGAGGAGGAGGAGAAGATTAGACCGCCGGACGGTCGTCAGGAGGAGGCAATGGAGGAACAAACACAGGAGGAGACGGGGAGCGGACAGAAGAAGAGGAGGAAAGGCCAAGGGCCCGCAGGCCACTCACAGGTGGGAACAACTGCCGCTCTAGAGGAAGCTGCGGGGGCGGCTGCGGCTGCCGCTGTTGCGGCTGCGGCGACGGCTGCGGCTGCTGCTGCTGCAGCTGCGGCGGCGGCTGCTGCTGCTGCTGCCGCTGCTGCTCCTGCTGCTGCTCCAGAAGGTCCAGCATCCGCAGCTCATGCCGCTCCCTCTCCAACCGCTCCTGCTCCTCACGCTCACGCCGACGGGCAGCCTGGAGACGCGTGTCGTGGCGGTGGGGAGGCGGAGTGGACTCCGC